TCTACTTTACCAAGCATGATGTCCTTCTCCAGGGACTCATCCCTCCTGATAACGTGTCCAAAGTAAGCAAGACAAAGTCTTGCCATCTTTGCTTCTGAGGAGCATTCTGGCTGTACTTCTTCCAAGACAGATTTGTTGTTCTGGCAGTTCAGCACCATTTGTTGAAAAGACTGTACTACCTCTGTTTAATTATTTTCACCTTTGTCACAAATCAGTGTTATAAATTTCCCTCTCAGTACTGAATTTAGCTGTGTCCCACAAAATTTGATATGCTGTAATTTCATTTTCATATATGTCACTATTGTTTAAAAATTTCCTTTGAGATTTCCTCTTTGACTCGTGGATTATTTAGAAGTGTTTTGTTAAGTTTAAGTGCTTGAAAAATTGCATTTTATCTTTCTGTTATTAATTACTAACTTGATTTCATTGTGGTCAGAGAACACACACTATGATTTCAGTTATTTTAAATTGGTGCGATTTTATGGCTAAGGAGATTGTCTATTTTGGTATGTATTTCTTGTGTTCTTGAAAAGAATGTATATTCCGATGTTGTTGAATGGAATGTTCTGAAATGTTGATTAGATCATGTTGGTTAATGAAGTTATTGAGTTCTTATATAACCTTGCTGGTTTACTGTCTAGTTGTTTATCAATTGTTGAGAGAGGGTTGTTGAAGTCTCCAACTATAATTGTGGATTTGTCTTTTTCTCTTTTCAGTTCTATCGGATTTTGCTTAATGTATTTTGCAGATCTGTTGTTTGGTGCATACACATTTGAGATTACATTGTGGTCTTGATGGATTTACACTTTTATTGTTATGTAATTCCTCTGTCTCTGGTAATTTTTTTTCTTTGAAGTCTTCTTTATCTGACATTAAAATAACTATTTCTGCTTTCCTTTGATTAATGTTTGCATGGTATATCATTTCCCATCTTTTTACTTTCAGCCGACTTACATTGTTATATTTGTACTTAGTTTCTTGTAGTCAGAATATGGTTGGGTTGGTTCATGTTTTCCTCTTCACTCTCTCAATCTCGTTCTTTTGATTGATGTATTTAGAATGCTTATAGTTATTGTAATGATTGATATGTTAGGGCTTAATCTGCCATTTTCTTTCTTTTTTCAATTTTTTTTTTATTTTGGTGTTTTCTTTTTCTTGCCATCTTGTGGATTACTTGAACAACTTTTAGAATTCCATTTGACATATATATTGTTTTCCAGTGTATCTCTTTATATAGATAATATTTAGTGGTTATAGGTATTCATTATACATAACTCATCACAATACAGTTGTGTCAGTATTTTATCAATTCTAGTAAAGTGTAGTCTCCTTAGCTCTTTACTGTCTTCTCTTGCCGTTATTTGTAATATAGGCACGTTTTACTTTATTGCACTTCACAGATGTTGCGTTTTTTACAAATTGAAGGTTTGTGGCAACCTTGTATCGAGCAAGTCTGTTGGCCTTATTTTTCTAACAGCATGTGCTTCCTTCGTGTCTTTGTATCACCAAAGGGGAAACAAACTTTGCAGGGCCAAACATGAGCGCTGTCATGTGGTCCACTAGTTCACTGCCATTTGCTGAGTCATTCTTATGTAAGCCCCTGGCTTGTAGCCACTCTTGTCCACTGCTGCTATAAAATCTCTGCCCTCCCACCGTGCGGTGCAGAGATCTGCTCTGGTTCTGTGGCTGCCCGGGACTTGGCCTTGTTTTAAGTCTCCCTAATAAACTCCTTTACCACCACTCTGGAGTTTCCCCTCTCTTTCTTCAGTCTCTTAGCACCTTCCAGTTTTGGAGGCAAATTTCAAGTTATTGGTCCATGCCTGGACAGTCACATTTTGGTAATTCTCACAATATTTCAGACTTTTTTCATTAGTGTTATATCTGTTATGGTAATCTGTGATCAGTGATCTTTGATGTTACTGTTGTAATTGTTTTGGGGCACCACGAACTGCACCCATATAAGACAGCAAACTTAATAAGTGTTGTGTGTGTTCTGACTGCTTCACCGACCAACCATTCCCCTGCCTCTCCCCATCTCCTCAGGCCTCCCTATTCCCTAAGACATGACAATATTGAAATTAAACCAATTTATAAGCCTACGATGGCCTCTAAATGTTCAAGTGAAAGGAAGAGACGCATGTCTCTCACTTTAAATCAAAAGCTAGAAATGATTAAGCTTAGTGAGGAAGTCATGTTGAAAGTCAAGATAGGTCAAAAGCTAGGCCTCTTGCACCAATTAGCCAAGTTGTGAATGCAAAGGAAACGTTGTTGAAGAAAATTAAAAGTGCTACTCCAGTGAACACATGAATGATAAGAAAGTGAAACGTTCTTATTGCTGATACAGAGAGTTTTTGTGGTCTGGATAGATCAAACCAGCCACAGCATTCCCTTAAGCCAAATCCTAATCCAGAGCAAGGCCTTAACTCTCTTCAGTTCTGTGAAGGCTGAGAAAGGTGAGGAAGCTGCAGAAGAAAAATTTGAAGCTAGCAGAGGTTGGTTGATGAGGTTTAAGGAAAGAAGCCATCTCCATAACATAAAAGTACAAGGTGAAGCAGCAAGTGCTGATGTAGAAGCTACAGCCAGTTATCCAGAAGGTCTAGCTAAGATAATCGATGAAGGTGCCTACACTAAACAACAGATTTTCAATGTAAATGAAACAGCCTTATATTAGAAGAAGATGCCTATTAGGACTTTCCTAACTAGAGAGGAGAAGTCAATGCCTGGCTTCAAAAGACAGGCTGATTCTCTTGTTAGGGGCTAATGCAGCTGGTGACTTTAAGTTGAAGCCAGTACTCATTTGCCATTCCAAAAATCCTAGGGCCCTTAGGAATTATGCTAAATATACTCTTCCTTTGCTCTATAAATGGATCAACAAAGCCTAGATGACAGCACATTTGTTCACAATATGGTTTACTGAATATTTTAAGCCCACTGTTGAGACTTACTGCTCAGAAAAAAAGATTCCTTTTAGAATTATTACTGCTCATTGACAATATAAAACAATATAATTGTTTTCATGCCTGCTAACACAACATCCATTCTGTAGCCCATGGATTAAGGAGCAATTTTCACTTTCAAGTGTTATTATTTAAGAAATACATTTTGTAAGGCTACAGCTGCCATAGATAGTGATTCCTCTGATGGATCTGGCAAATAAAAACCTGGAAGGGATTCAACATTCTAGATGCCATTAAGAACATTCATGATTCATCCAAGGAGGTCAAGATACCAACATTAATAGGAGTTTGGAGGAAGTTAATTCCAACCTTCATGATGACTTTGAGGGATTCGAGACTTTAATGGAGGAAGTAACTGCAGATGTGGTGGAAATAGCAAGAGAACTAGAAGTGAAACCTGAAGATGTGACTGAATTGCTGCAATCTCATGATAGAACTTTAACAGGTGATAAGTTGCTTCTTATGGATGAGCAAATAAAGTGGTTTCTTGAAATGCATATACTCCTGGTAAAGATGCTGTGAACATTGTTGAAATGATAACAAAGAATTTAGAAAATTACATAAACTTAATTGATAAAGCAGTGGAGGGTTTTAGAGGATTGACTCCAATTTTGAAAAAAGTTCTAGTGCGGGCAGAATGCTATCAAACAGAGTCACATGCTACAGAGAAATCTTTCATGAAAGGAACTCAGTCGATGCAGCATGCTTTATTTTTGACTTAAGAAATTGCCACAGCCACCCCAGCCTTCAGCAGCTACCACCCTAATCAGTCAGCAACCGTCAACATTGAGGCAAGACCCTCCACCAGCAAAAAGATTATGACTCACTGAAGGCTCAGATGATGGTTAGCGTTTTTTTTTAGCAGTAAAGTATTTCTAAATTAAGGTATGTACTTTTTTCTTTAAGACATAATGCTATTGCACACTTAATAGACTACAGGATAGTGTGAACACAAATTTTACATGCACTGGGAAACAAAAAAATTCATGTGACTCACTGTATTGCAGTACTCGCTTTATTGCAGTGGTCTGCAACTGAAGCCGCAGCATCTCCGAGGTATGCCTGTATATTTTTCTTGAATAATTTCTTTTATAGCCAAACCATGTCAGACTGTTGTAATTTTTGGTTTGTCTGTTAAACATAATTTAGAAAATACAAAAGGAGAAGGAAAGCCTATTGTACTTACCCATATTTTTGCTCTTTCTGTTCACTTATTTCCTGATGTTCTAGAATTCCTTCTGTTCTCATTTCTGTTCTGTTTCAAGAACTTTCTTATATATACTTCTAGGGTAGGTCATCTGGTAGCAAATCCTCTTATTTTTCTTGGATCTAACAATGTCTTTTATTTCCCTTTCATTCATTAAGGATAATTTCTCCAGATACAGAATTTGGGGTTGACAATTCTTTTCTTTCAGAACTTGAAAATGTTAATGCCTCTTTCTTCTTCTCCCTGTGGTTTCTGATAAGAAATCTGTCATTTGAATTGTTTTTCCTCTGTAGGTAAGGGGTCATTTCTCTATCGCTGCTTTCAAGCCTTAGTTTTAGTTTTATAGCCCTTAGTTTTCAATAGTTTGATTATTGTGGTGTCGTGGATTAAATTATGTCTCCCAAAAGTGTGTGTCAACTTGGCTAGGCCATGATTCCCAGTATTATGTGATTGTCCACCATTTTGTTATCTGATTTGATTTTCCTATATGTTGTAAATCCTGTCTCTATGATGTTAATGTGGCAGGATTAGAGGCAGTTATGTTAATGAGGCAGGACTCAATCTACAAGATTAGGTTGTATCTTGAGTCAATCTCTTTTGAGAGATAAAAGAGAGAAGTGAGCAGAGAGACAGGGGGACCACCTACCACCAAGAAAGCAGAGCCAGGAGCAGAGCCTGTCCTTTGGACCTGGAATCCCTGTGCTGAGAAGCTCCTAGACAAGGGGAAGATTGACGGCAAGGACCCTGCCCTAGAGCTGACAGAGAGAAAGTCTTCCCCTGGAGCTGGAGCCCTGAATTTGGACTTCCAGCCTCCCAAACTGTAAGAGAGTAAAATTCTCTTTGTTAAAGCCATCTGCTTGTGTTATTTGTTATAGCAGCACTAGGTAACTAAGACTTATGGGTTCTGGCGTGGATTTCTTTGGGTTTATTCTTTTTGGTGTTTGCTTAGCCTCTCCAATCTATTTATTTGTCTTTTATCAAGTCTGAGAAATTTTCGGCCATTATTTGTTTGAATATTTTTTGAGCCCCACCAATTTCATCTCCTGATGCACTGATGACACATTTTTAGATCTTCTGTGTTTAGTTCCACAGAATTCTGAGTTTTTGCTCATTTATTTTTTAGTCCATTTTCTGTTCAGATTGGATGATTGTTGTTCTGTCTTCAAGTGCAGTGATTCTTCCCTGTCTATTCTGCTGTTGCTCCCATCCATTGAGTTTTTTATCCTATATTTTTATGCTATAAAAATACAGTACTTTTTCTTTAATTTTAAAACTTCCATTTGGTTCTTTATATTATCTGCTGCTTTGCTGAGACTTTCTTTTTCATTTGTTTCAAGTGTGTTCTTAATTGTCCTTTGAAACATTTTTATGATGAATGTTTTAAAATCCTTGTCAGATAATTTTAACATCTGAGTCATCTTGATGTTGGTGTCTTAAATGTTTCCTCATTTAAGTTGAGATTTTCCTGGGCTTTGGTATAATGAGTGATTTTCACTTGTATTCTGGAGATTTTGGGTGTTAATGTTTTGAGGCTCTGGGCCTTATTTAAGTCTTTTGTTTTACAAGTGTCTTCTGACACTCTGTGGGAGATGTGGAGGGCACAGCCTTGTTATTGCCAGAGCCCCCTTTGACACCTGAGACAGGAAGGGTACTTCCTTAGTGCTAGGCAGGGGTGGGATTTCAGGTTCCCTTAGATCTCTGCTGGCACCGCCTGGGTTGGGAAGGAGAGGGGTGCCTGCTAACTGCTCCCATGTGGCCCCTACTCATATTGCAAGGGGGCCTTGTTACCTAGTGCTAGATGGTGGTTAAAAGTCTGGCTTTTCACTGGGTCTGCTTTTCACTGGTAGGGATGGGCGCCTTGTTAACACTGGTTGGAGGGGAAGTCTTGGATTCCTTGTGCTCTACAATGACATTGGAATGGGGCTTTATTCCTGCCGGGGATGAATGTCCCAGCTTCCCTCCTGTCCTTCCTGACACCATCCAGAAGTGGGAGTGAGTGATGTCTCCTTACAGCTCCCCACTCAGTCCTTGCTGTCAAGTGTGGGGTAGGGCTGCATTTTTTTTCTTCATGTTTAGATGGAGGAGGGCCGTTATTGTGTAAAAGTTTTCCGTGCTGCTAGGCTGCCCCTTTCCTGTCCGTTAGACTTTGTTGGGGCTTTTGCCTGTGCCCATTGTTTCCTCAGCTCACTGACTTCCCTAGCCCCCAATGTGGGATATGTGAGGCAAAAAGAAAACACAGACAGTTCACTGCTGTGTTATTCCTCGGGTCCTGAGCTCTATAGCCTATCTGCCTCTTCTTTCCCCCTTTCAGAGTCTTAAGTGCGTTTATGCGTAACGTGCAGAGTTTTCAGCTGTACTTAACTGGAAGGAACAGAGAGAAATATATCTACTCTACCTTGGTCTGGAACTGGAAGGAAAGGGCGATATACCTTTAATATATAACAAATCACAAATTTCATACATCAAACCTGTTAAGTGAATAGGTTTTGTATAAAATTCCAGGTTTTCTATAGAAATTATGATTTATCTAATATTTCTATTTTGGGGAACGTGTATTAGAATATAGTTAGAAAAATTTAAAAATGTAAGGTAAATGGTTTATTGTGTTGTATTTACCAACAAAATTTTATATTATGAGACCTTTATTTCCACATTGGCAGTTGAAAGCTAACTAGTTGTTAGGAAAACAGCTTTGATAAGGGTTTTTCCTTGCTTTATGAGTTTTGAAAGCCTCTTTCCTTGCTTATGTGAAAATGCCATTTTATGCTTATTATGTATACAGGGCTGTAGTAATGTGTTTTAAAGGTCCTCAGGTTTCCTTTGATGTGAGAATATTTTTATTTTATTATAATTACACCGATACAGGACACATTCTATTTAATATATAATGTTGGTGAGTTGTTCAAACTTGTATAAAAATTTTCATCATTGGGTTGGGATTTTATAAAAATTTCCAGGGGAAGAATTAGATGTGATTTGAAAATGGTTTAATAAATGTTTAAAAGTTCAATATCACATTGTTTTCTTTGTCATCAGAGATGAAGATGTTCTTGTTTTTATTTCAATTAGGTATATAATGATGTGTACCACACATAGTATTTAATAGTTCACTAGGAATGCAAATCCTTGTTAAGATCATTTTTTAAAAACTCCTATGAAGTATTGATTTCTCTTTTGCATGGTGAATATGTGAGTAAAACTAAGGTATTGATTTAATGTTTTTATTTCTATGTTTTAAATAGTATGTGTATCATTAAAGTGATCATCTTTGCAGTTGAATGAAGAACAAATGACATCTAGTACCATTATTTTGTTTATCCATGTCCAATCCTACCTTTGCTTTACTTTTTTTCCCGGCAGGCAGCTGTTGGCCCTGCCTTCAGGCCTTTGTAATATAATAGTTAAACTTTAGTATATAAAAGATTGGTGCTGAGAACAATGACTATTGTCTGATTATCTGTAAAATAATTAGTGTTTTTCTTGTTAGAGGTAACACTTTTTTTTTTAATGCTAGTTTTCTCATTCTGAGTAGCTAACACAATTTTGTCACAGTTTTTAAAGTTTTACAATTAGGATAATCTAATAAATGTTTTACTAGTCATAAAGATGAAACTTTTCCTTTGTTGAGGTGGTTCACTATTGAAAGGCCTTTTTTCTTTTTAGTACAGAATGATTCTTAAGACAGTATTTACCAAGTTGCCTAGTCTAGGATTGCTTGGAATCAGAGACAAATTTTTAGGGTCTGTGAGAATTTCCTTTAAAAGGAATCCATAGTTCACTTAAGTTTAAGAAATTCTTTACACCTGCCAGAATAGAAATGTTTCCCTTAATTTCTCTACAGCTAACAGTATAACCATGAAGATACGGTTGATGATAAAGAGCATCACAATTTTAGGTAACTAGAGCGTGTGTCCTGAGATAATTGTCTGTATATCTTTAAATTTCTGGATTTGCATTTACATAGTATTGGATATTGTACCCTTAACTCTAATTTAGAAGTTTCTCTCAGTTTGTGTGTAGTGTTGGTATGTTTTCTTATTTTAAGAAATTGGTCTTCAGATTTTAAAATGTGTGGCTCCACGGTTCACAGGGGAGAAAGCACTTGTCAACTTGAGGGACTGTCCCTTATTGCTTGTTTTTGCTACTAAGATCAAGACTTTTTTTTTTTAGTCACTGTTCCTCTTTTTTCTTTTTTTACTGCTTCACTGTTTATATCCCCTCTGTAAGAGGAAGAGTCCCAGTTTCTCTTTAGTTTATTCAGTTAGTTCATACAGGTTAACTACATGTTAATGATTCATTAGTGACCTTGTTGAACTTGGTAGCTGCGTTTGATGAAGGAAATACATATGTTTTGGTATAGTACTTAGCTTTCTGTTGCTTTGTTTTTTGACTTTATTGACATGAAGTCAAAGGAGAAATGTTTATTTTTCTTAAAGAAGGCTTAAGCATAAGGCATATTTAAAATGTATTTCTCCGTTTGATATCAGTTGACTTTCCAGAAATGTTTTTCATCAAAATGGAAACAATAAGGCTGTTAGATGCATAAGATAAAATGTGAGTTTATCCTACTTACTGTATTGACCCACTTTTACTTAGATACATGTAAATTGTGCCTTCCAGTGCTTGAGTGTTTTGTTGAAAGTTCCTAATTTTTTTTAAACCTTTGGCAGCAGTTAAGATAGCTGTCTTCATTTCTTAGCGTGATAGTACTCTTGGGTTTGGTATCATCTGTCTGTCATCTTTGTTCACATTGTTTTTACTCATTTTAAAAATATGTTTCCAGAATTATACTTAATTGCTGGAAACGTTGATTTTTCTTGAGTGACAAACCAATTAAGTGTGTATGACACCAGGCAACAAAGACACTTAAGAATCTGTGCTTATCCTGTCTCTGAAAAAAATCCATTATTCATCATCTTATTGTTTTTAAATACTGAGGTAGAATTTTCAATACAATAGGAAAATTGCTTTGGAAATGGAATAAATTGCTTGCCAGTTCAAAGGCTCCATTTCTGAAGTCGAGATTACTAAACATGATGTTGCTTATATTCATTATCTTTCAGAACTCATTGTGCTGCTTCTCCAGCCTTAAACTTGATAAGATTGTGACTTTTGCTAAAATGGAACACAGTCATTGAGAGAACTTAATGAAAAAGACTAAAAATCTCATTTTGTGTATTATTATCATATATGTAAGTGGTATTTTCCATTTTAATTGCATTTTGTATAAATATTCATTTTCTAGTTGACTTTTAAAAGAAGTGATCTTACACAGAAAAATAAGCAAAAAGGAATTTTTAAGGGAACAAATATTATTTCTGTTCATTTACTGCTTCACAGATGAGCATTCATCTTGTAATTTTTTGCCTAAGTCATCTAAAATTATTACTAGCATGTGGTAAGGATGCTCTTGGATGGTATCAGTAGGGGTTGGAGTCATTTGTCAATTACATGGGCGATCTAAAACTGGTAGCATTTTGCTTGGTAGAGTGGAACATTCAAAAGGAGTGAAAGATAAGTGAATGATATTTCTGACCCTTTCTATTTTCAGTAGAAGGCCTTCTACATTATTATTCTTAGTGACATGTGGTACTCCATTGTCTTAGTCATCTAGTGCTGCTTTAACTGAAATACCACAAGTGGATGGCTTCAACAAAGAAATTTATTCTCTCACAGTCTAGTAGGTTACAAGTCCAAATTCAGGTGTCAGCTCCAGGGGAAGGCCTTCTCTGTCAGCTCTGGAGGAAGGTCCTTGTCATCAGTCTTCCCTTGTTCTGGGAGCATCTCCGCGCAGGAACCTCAGGTCCAAAGGACAAGCTCTGCTCCCAGCACTGCTTTCTTGGTGGTATGCCGTCCCCAGCTCTCCGCTTGCTTCCTTGAGAGATGAAAGATGGTGCAGGCCACACCCCAGGGAAACTCCCTTCACTTGAATCAGGGTTGTGACCTTAGTAAGGGTGTTACACAATCCCACCCTAATTCTCTTTAACATAAAATTACAATCACAAAACAGAGGACAGCCACATAATTCTGGGAATCATGGCCCAGCCAAATTGATGCACATGACATCCATCATGGATATAATTGCTTCTCTTGTCATGGACATTCAGGTGTCTCAACATTTTTCATGCTCTTAGACTGCATGACACGGTGGCTGGTCGTCCTTGTGGATAAACCTTGTACACATTTTTAATTTCCTTGAGATAATTCAAACTCGTAGTTGATTGACATTAATAAAAGGCTTTTGATACATCTTAACAAACTGTTCTCTAGAGAAGTTGTTCTCATTCTTACCAGCAATTGAGAGTGCCTATTGACCGAAGACTGAATGTTAAGAATTATTTCTTTTCAATTAATAAGCAAGATATGTTCTCATTTTAATTTGCACGTTTTAAAAGGCCTTTTTGAAAACAAAAAATCACTTCCACGTTCAAAACCTTCCGATGGCTTCCCATTACACTCAGAATTAAATTTAAACTCCTTACCAGGCTTCCAGGCCTGCCTGGGAAGGGTAAATACATTCAGCCTCAATGCTGATGAGGGTAAGGAAAAAAAAATTTTGTGTTATTCATAGCACTCATGTTGGTGGGTGTTTAAATGTACAATTTGGCAGTATATATCAGGAGTGTTTTAAATTTTATGACTTTGTATAACAATTCTATTTCTGGAAATCTCTGAAAGAATTTGTGTAAAAATATGGAAAAAGTTCTGTGCAAATAAATTTTTATTGAAATACTGCATAATGAAATTACTGCTTTCATTGTCCAGCAATAGGGAAATGACTCAGGAACTTGGTAAATCCACTTGCGGGAGTATTTTGCAGTTACCAAATGTTACAAAGACAGTAGAGAAAATTAGGTGGCAGGTTTTCATTGGCTTTCTTTTAGAAGGATTTTTTTTCCCCCTGCCATTGAACTGTACTTTTCTTTGGACTCTTGACAGCTAGACACTTATTTCAAAAACAATGTCTAATGAAGAAGCTTTGGAAATCCTGCCTTCTGACCTAATCACAGAATCCCAGTAGGCAGAGTGCTACCTGGCATTGTCACCACACACACACACACACACACACACACACACACACACACACACACACACACACACACACACACACACACACACACTCTTCCCCAAAAGGTCTCTAACTGCAGCTGTAAAGCTTATTCTGTTCATTTTAATAGTCTAAACATTGCTACTTTGAGTTCAGAGCAGAATAAAAATCCTCCTGGTATTGTTGGGTCCACTTTCCAATCTTGATTATCTAGAGGAAGACCCATCGTTGTCCTTCCTAAGGCCTTCATTTCCAAAATGTTGGCTTGTAAGAGTAACAGGAGATCCAGAGAGAGAAGATAGTGATGACAATGAAGATGATGATATGAGCCACTGAGTGGATTTGACTTACAGATGACATGGGTCTCAATGACCACAGGCCTTAGAGAAAAGATCCGGAAAAAAGATGGAGATGCTGTGGAGTAAAGAAACTACAGTAGACGATATCTGTTGTGGTCTTTAAATTTTTTTCCCTTGAATACATTTTCTCCAGTGTTCCTTATAAGAAATTTCAAACATACAGAAATGTTATCTGTGATCCTTGTCCTGACTTCTTTTGTGAGGGTTGTGTACCTGCTACCTCTGTGTGGATTTCCGGGCCTGTCCATGGGTCTTTGTTTTCTCCATTCCACTGTTAACCGGTGTGTTGATCTTGGGGGTGGATGCCAGGGAGTGGGCCGTACTTCCTCTCCCCATGCTTTGGCTCTTTGGGTTTTGCAATCTTGGTCCTTCTTCCTGTGCCCTCCAGTGAAAGCCTGGCTCTAGCAAATGGAAGACTCGGCTTTGACAGCTGCTAGCTCTTAACTGGGCTTGAAGAGCCTATTTTGGAAACCAAAAGCTGAACTACCTTTCTCCTGAAACCATGTGCAGTTCAGCTCTGTTGGCTGAAGGTCTAGAAGCAGGAAGAATTAATAGGAATGAACAGTACATTGGATAATCATCAAAAATCTTATTTTCTTGGACATGGGATAGAAAGCACTCTATTTGCATATGCCTTTACAGATTAATTTGTATATCAGTTATGGTTTTTGGCTTCTGGGTATTGCCCATAGTTTTTGGATTATAACATGCTGTTTCTCTTTGAGTATTCTGGGCAATGAGGGCAAGTCAGTAGTCTTCTTGTTCTTTGTCTGTCTGAGTCCTTGGAGACTCAGTGTAGGTATTCTCTAAAAAGGAAAAAATTTTCCACAGTATTTTTCTCTGTATTGCACCTATCCATGTATTTGGTCCCTCTTTTTCTTCACGTTTTGTTTCTGAAGAACTCTCGGTTTCCACTCGCTACTTTCTTCTTTCCTTTTGTCACGTAGCCTTCCAGGGGATGTCTCCCCCTTCCAGACAGACTGCCTTCTCCAGTAACCAGGATGGCCACTTTGTTTAAGTGTGTCTTCTACTCAGACACACATGGGGTCTCTATGGGTCGGCATTGACTCGATGGCAACTGGTTTTCAGTTATGTCATAGTTGTGGGTTTTGGTTGGTTTTATTTGCTTTCTTTGTGGTTTTTGGAGGATGTAAGGACAGATTTCAACCTAAGTGACTACCATTATTCCGCAGGAACCCAGACATCTGCCTTCTTACTTTGGAATCTAGAATAATTCCTACCACAAAGGCTTGATGTAAAATTAAATAAGATAGCATTTGTTAAGTCTCCATTATAGTTTCTGACGAATTGTTGTTTCTCAAAAAGGACTTGTTGTGTGCTGTCAAGTCAATTCTGACTCATAACGACCCCACATGACAGAGTAGAACTGCCCCACAGGGTTTTTTAGGCGGTAATCTTTATGGGAACAGATTGCCTGGTCTTTTCTCCCATGGAGTGGCTGGTGGGTTCGAACTGCCAGCGTTTTGGTTAGCAGCCGAGCGCTAAACCATTGTGCCACCAGGGCTCCTTTTAAAAAAGGTAAGTTTTTATTTTTAGAATATAAATTGTGTTCCTCACTGAGGAAAGGAAAGGTAAAATGGATGGTGCTGATAGTTGGCTGCCTGTTGCTGGAATCAGAAGAGGATTGTTGAACTCTAACAGGTGTGCTGGTTGTGGAGGAGATTATTTTATTGAACAGAATTTGAGTAAAAGGCCAAAGTAAAAAGACAGGGAATAAATGAGACATAGCATCATTCTAATGTTGCCGGGTGGAAACCCCAGGCACAACTCGTCTCAGCCAATAAACGAGAGACTGAGGTGGGAGATCAGAAAGGTGCTTTTATTTCCTTGTGCAAGGAAAGGAACAGTTGAGGCTGCTGCCACCGAGACTGCTCAGTGAGGGCAAGAGGTAAGGTTACTTTTATGGGATTTACAAGCAGGAAGTTCATACAAGTTACATCAGCAACATTCTTAATCATACTACACAGGCGCAGTGGGGTTTACATATAATTTCATGCATTGCACGTTCAGAAAATGGCAGTTAAACTCCACCCATAGGTGGGAAAGTTATTATGTATGAGGTACTTAAGGTTATCCAGAATGTCATTGTGGCACCTAAACCAGTTTCCTCCGATTTCCTCTAGTTATGGCATCAGTTAAGGAAAGGGGAACCAGCATGCTAATGTAAAGCTACAGGGCATGCCAAGCAAGCTGCTCCAGGCAGTGGAATTTTCCACAGCCTGGGAAACTCTGTCTTCTTAACAATAAACCAAGAGACACTTTTCATACCTTTCAGTGTGAAGATAACTTCATATTGTCAAAAATAGCTTCCAAAACTTTGACTGATGAGTGTCAAGTTGGTCAAATCTTACTCCCATCAATTTTTTGCACTGAGTAAATAGTATGTGGAGGTGTGTATTTTGCTACTAGTGGTATTTCATACTATTGACTTCTGGGTTACTGGATTGAATACCTTGGATGGTCACCGGGCAGCTTTGGTAGTGCTACCTGGCCACCCATACCCACTGAAGCCTCCATCGTGGTTGCAAGCAAGCCTGGTGGTGCAGCTTCTTTGGCTGCTGTCTCTTCCACTTCCCTAGGCTAGTTCATTTATATTTTTTTTGCAAAGCTAGCAGCATCACTGTGCACAGTTACAGTGGTCTACCTCAGCTGAAGAGTGTTAGGACTTAGTTTGAGGGAAAAAGAAGCGTTTGCTTAATGGAATTAGAGCAGATGCTGTCCTGAATAAAACAATGCCGTAACAGCCACTCTGTTCTTGGTCTGTTTTAGTAACTGTTCTTGTCACTAACCAGGTATCAGCTGGAAGATGAGTCTGCCCATTTGGATGAAATGCCACTGATGATGTCTGAAGAAGGATTTGAAAATGATGAAAGTGATTACCACACATTACCAAGAGCCAGGATAACTCGAAGAAGAAGAGGAATAGAGTGGTTGGTTTGTGGTGGATGGAAATTCCTCTGTACCAGGTTTGTTGTCCACCACTACCTGACTGCCATATGCACTGAGGTTGGCTTGCTTAACTGCTTGTATGCTTAAGTCTTCTTTTAACACTTATTTCAGTGAAAGCGAAGAAGACACCCTCTGAATAACATCAAGGAGAGTATTAATAACATTAGTCAAGATCAAATAATGCTAATCTGAAAGGAAGGGAAAACTAAATTAATTACTTAATGAGAAGTTTTAATGGTTAAAAGATGGAGAAAATTAGTGATTTTGTGATGACTGCATGGTGGAATTAATTCTGGTCACCATGTTGACATTTATAAATTGTGTTTCTGTTCCATTTATAATTACACTGTCATCCAAAAAACATGGATCATGGACCTATAACAATGCAGTTTAATAATACTGTAGCAGTGTATATGATTCAACTTTAATGCCTTGACTTGGAGTAAGAGTCTTCTGTTAATTTACCCAGAAAAAAATCAAGATACGAATACCCACTTTAAACAGGTTCACTAGTGATTGAGGTAAACAGATGCTGTGTACGATATACATGGACGTGGACCCCATTGTGTATGGGAAACAGCCATTGCTTCTGTGCAGCGCTAGGATTTCTGAGGACCCCTCAGCCAGTGACCACAGGAATAGGCAATGGAGCTGGGCAGGATTTGGACTTGTCATCCCCCTTTAGCTTTCGATCAAAGTAGTATCTTTATCTTCCTCATGTACTGTAAACTTTCATATGAAGAAAAAATTCCACAGCTAAGTAGTGTTTTAGAAATTACTGACTTGAGATATTGATTTAATAGTAAGTGACTATAGCATGTTTAAAAAACATTTTCCAGGTTAAATAGCCAATATTCCAATATTCCTGAAGCTTTCTTATTGGGTACGTATGTAATTATAGAGTCAGTTTCTTTAATAGATATAGGACTGTTCTGATTTTTTTTTTTCCTTGTGTCACTTATGGTGGTTTGAACTTTTCAAGGGATCTGTTTTCAAATTTATGTTGGCATAAAGTTATTCATAATATCCACCTGTGATCTTTGTAACATCTGAAGATCTGTAGTGATGGCCCCTTTTTTTATTCCTGATGTTGATAATTTGCTTTTTTTTTTTTTGATAAATCTTGATAGGAGATTATCAGTTTTATTCTTCTCAAAGAGCCAAGTATTTGGTGTTGTCTTCTCTTTTGTCTGTTTTCTTTTACTTTCAAACTTTTATTTTGAAATAAATTCAGACTTCAGAAAATAGTTCAGAGAACTCCTAAACCCTCTACACAGACTCACCAATTTTTAACTTTTTCCACTTTTATTTTATCATTCTCTATCTTATTTTTTTTTTTTTCCTTGCTCTTTCTAGTGTTAATTTCTACCTTGATGGCATTGTGGTCAGAGAAGATACTGTGAATTATCTCAATGTTTTGGATCTT